ATACTACAGTGCACAGGGTTTTAAGTTTATTGACTTTTTTTTAACTTCACAAACAGTTTCTGTTGATACATAAGAAAATAGAAAAAAAAGGCCAGCAATATATATATATCTGTAAAAAGAAATTCTCAAATATATTCACATTTTATTTATGTTTCAAACTAAGGTGGATCATTATATTAAAATACCACATCATAAAAATGTGTAATGTGTTAGTTTGTTTCTGTAATTCTAGGAAGACATGGGGATGACATATGCTGAACTAAATATGTATGGGCACTTGAGAAAGCAGAGTGGTTGTGGACCATATTCTATGTTTTGTAAGCTCATTCATTTGTGGAAGGACAAACTTACACCAGCTGAGGTAACAGAGCTAATTTTGCCTTATGTATTGTTATTTATCTTACTTTGTTTGATGGTGAACTAAAGAATTTGTGAAGTGTAATATAATACTAATTAACACTGTAAAAAAAAAAGTTTGAATTTTTTTGAACTGTTATGAGCTTAGCTATGGTATTAATGGGTGGTAAATTTTCCACAACTGTTGAGTGTTTAGAAAATATGAAAGTTTAGAAAAGAATGGTAGTTTAAATCTACAACTCGAATCACAACTGATTATAATGCAAGTCATGAACTTTTGTATGACTGAGTATGCATATTTTCTGCCAAACTGTTCATATATACCTAAAAATTATAAATACTTTTGTTTCCAATGTCCAAATTATATGATTGTTACTTTTCGTACAGTTGTTTTTTAATTTATAAATTGAGTTTCACAAGTTATAAGTATGTAGTGCTATTAGTGTATCAGTACAATAACTTGAAAATAATTTATGCCATCATGCTCTTTTTTTTTTTTAATTGGACAATACTAAAATTTGTGCGTCCAAGGAGGAATATTTCTACCTGTAGCAATATAAATTTTAGAAACATCATTCAAGTTTCTTGTTTATAATTCATAGGCTTTCTCTAAATTCTAATAAATGAAGCTATAAGATTATTTGTGACCACATGAATTGTTTATGAAAAATAACTTAATTATAATATTTCTCTAAAAATTGAGGAAAATATATTTTTCCAGTGATCTGGAACATCATATTACATTTCTTTTTTCACTGATGGTGTGGAATTGTCTTTTTAAAGGATTTTCACACTGTATTTTAAAAATACATTTAAATACTGCTTAGCTTTTTAAAATGTGAAAAACCTATACATTTTGATTCTTAAATATTCATGGTTATAAGCTATTAAAAATAGTAATGTTGTAGTTCCTTAACCAATTTATATTGCAGCTATTTAAACAAAATATTTTTCTAATGGTGGGTAAAAAATCTTTGCAATAGGTTGCAGAGAAAGTCAAGTTTTTCTTCCGTCATTATGCCATTAATCGTCATAAAATGACAGTTTTAACTCCATCTTATCATGCTGAAAGCTACAGCCCTGATGATAACCGTTTTGACCACCGTCAGTTTCTTTACAATGCCAAATGGAAATGGCAATTTGACACTATAGATGTTCAGGTAACTTAACTGTGGTTTTCGTTAAAGCATCTCTCTTTTTCATTATTGCCTTCTTAATCAGTAATTGTATTTATCATAATAAGTAGATAAATATGTGCTTCAAAAGTTCATCTTTTAACACAGTGGTTTTACTTCAAGATCATATTATATTTGCACCTTTGTTAATATTTTATATGCTGTTTTAGTTTTCTTTAATTTAATTTTTTGTTTGTGGTGTTATTCTTTCTGTTGATTTGGTTTTGGTTATTTTCAGCCTGAATGGCACCTTATGGGATAAAGGCAGATCAGAGCCTTAAGGGTTCAGATACACCTGTCCCTATTTTTGTACTAGTGATCAAGGAGAGTGTACAGCTAGCTCTTGCTAAAACAAGGGCTCAATTCCTTGAATCAAGTAATGGGAAAGACTTTTATAATGCATATACAGCTGAAAGTATGGAACATACTCATTGACATAACATATTAAACCTTAGGCTCTTCAGTCAACATCTCACCATAATTTACCTTTGAAAAATGTTATATCGAGTACTTTTGAAAAAAACCAACAACAAAAGTTTAAGTTTTACCTTGCAGTTAGAATCATATATGTTAAGAGCAATACTACCATAACGAAGTGAACAACAATGATGTACTGTTGAGCAGGATCTGGTGGCATCAGCATTTCTAGGTGAATAATATGGAAGCTTACCTTTCATACTTTTTTCGCTATGAAAATGTTTGAAGCTTTACAGCTTATTAGCTGTGACAAAAATCTTTATTTAATTGTGTTGGAATAGAATTAGTTTTATAGCTATAGTGCAGTTGATATATTATTATACACTCTTCCTTACTTTCACCTAGAAGTTCTTATAATACTAATCTTTTCTTGAAGGAAAAAGGTTAATGTATATTTAGATGATACAGCCATTAGTAAATTGAAAGGAAAAGAATAATACATGAAGTAATAGTATTTACAATCATACTTACACTGCATTCTAATAGTTGTGCATATTATTCAAACAAATAAAATGTTGTAAGAATAGTAGTCTGTTCATTCTAAAATTTTAGAGGTTCCATTTAATAAGAGTATTTGAAAAATTTAAATGAGAAACATATCGGATTTCATAAGACAGTAGTGTCCATAGCACAACTAACTGAAAATTTAAATTTTTTACTCTTGTTATAACATGTTATTACAGAATGAAATCTCAGACTTAGTCTATTTGTTTGAAAGACTTCTACCTTTTCTACATTCATTATTAGCTTGGTAGCATCAGTAATTATGGCTAGGCATTAGGGACCTTGTCTTTTTTTCAGCCTAGGAACAAGGACGATTAATTCTTTCAGCACAGGCTCGGTTCCTGGGACCGACCTCATAACAATTTTGTGCTTGTTATAATTTTCATGCTATAACGTTTAAATTTGTTAGCATATGTTAACAAAATTTGGCAGATTATCAGTAGACATTACAATGCTTTCATATCCAAAAATATAAATTTTTTGTATTAAATCTTAAGGTTTGTAAAGCAATGTTTTTCTCACACTTTTTGCATGTTGCCTATCCGACATGCAAAGTAATTTTTATTTTAAGATTAAAAATACTTTCATGCATAAGAAAATTTTCAAATTTCACATATGAAATCTTTATAATGTCCAAACCTTTCTTAAGAAAAAAACTACATTTTATCTGTTATTTTCAGTAACAAATCTCTGTACAGGTTTGATAGATTTGACTGATCTCATAACCACCCTAAAAAATTAGGAAATAAATATAAATTATGCCTTTGAATAGAGTTGTTTAAACATTTGTTTAACAACAAGTAAAAGCTTGGAATGGTCTATTCGTTCATTGAGGGTGTGTCTGTGAGCCAGACTAGTTTCGGAAAATTCCACTACTCATCAGTGACCCTGGACACTACCACCAATGAAACTTCAGACCAAACCAAGCCTTTATAGTCGTGAGGTATTGAAAATCGAAATGGTGTATTTAAGTGTTTTACACTCACAAAAAAGAAACCTATCAACTATAGGTATTTGAAGAACTTGTATCATTTCGCCACAAATTAATTCTTCGTATTGAAGAGAAAACCACTAGAGGGACATTCTGATCTCTCGATTAGTTATTCATGTCATACATATAGAAGAAGTGTATTTATAAGGGAGCATTTCCAAAAAATCGAAAGAGGTGGGTGGAGGGCCACTATGTTTGATTCAGTACACTAGCGATATCTTAGCAAATAGCAAAGAAAAGAGGTTCTCATTTTATATTCTAGCTTGTTAATATCGGTAATATTAGTTCCTAATTCGTATGAAACTATAGACTTAAGTATTTTGACATCACAAATATATAATTTGAACCAGTGTTGCATTTGACATTCCATGTGACACACAAAAATTGATGTTTAACTGCATTTTTTTATTATTCACTGTTAAATTAAGACATTG